TAGAAAGTTCTTCTGAACACAATCCAAAAATGCTTGCGCTTCTCTGTCCTGAACACTACCATTATCTCAGATAATTAAGGTCCTCCATTATAACTGCTTTAAACTGCTTGCACCTCCTTGTACTTTCCAGACAGGTTTGTTCCTTTACATTGTTCCCACTAGCAGATGGTCAGTAGATTACATTGATGAAATGTAATTGCACTCTGCACTTTTCTGTCCTTGAACTCTCTAATACATCCTGTTTCCCAAATACTGCAATGTTCTCTCCAACCAAGCTCCCACCCTTCCTCATTTTCTCCCTTTCAAGAACACCTTATAAGCAGAAATATTTAACACCCCTCCCGCCCTTCCTTCAGTCAGATATTTATTATCACTACACTATTATAATTCACTCTATACATTCACATGCACACAGTGTAGTATTGATTGAGATTATTTTCATTTCACCCTTACTTCAACTCCACTTATTAATTTGGTATTCTCTAATGTACTGCTGTCTGGATCTTTCAATATTTTGTTGGATATCCTGGCATTGCTGTCTAATATTCTCTCCTGATTCTCTCATCACTGCAGAGTTAGTATAAAGCTTCGCCAATAGCAAATTCCCTCTCAAGGAAGTTCGACCTGGCTTTGTCCAGGTGCAACACATCCACTCTGCACAGGTGCCATCTCCCTTAAATCCAGTCCAAGTGCCCAGAAAGTTCAAGCTCTTTCTCCAACACCATATTTTCAGCAATGCATTCAACTGTCCCCTCCTTCTATTTCTGTATTTACTGGCGCATGATCATGGAAGTAATCTGGAGATTACTACATCTGAGGTTGTGCTTGCTTATTTATTACATTGCTGCCTAAATTCTGATTTTCTTTATTTATTCATTGATGGGACGTAGACATCAGCGGCCAGGATGCTCCCCCTTCCTATTGATGTTATTGATACCAACGTTGACCATGACTTCTGGTTGAAATGCTCTCCTAGAAGAATGTCCTGCAGCTGTCTGTGACATTTTGATCCAGCAACAGGGAGACAACGTACCATCCTGGAGTCAGCCTATGGCCACAGAAAAACATTGTGCCTTCCCTTCACTGCTGAATCCCTGATCTTTACTGTGGTTCCATTCTTCCTTTTTCCCCTCCAGTACTGCTAGACCTGTCACTTGCTGCAATCCTTTGTGGAAGCATCACCCTCTCTGGTATCCATAATGGAAAACCGATTCTCTGGCGGGATCTGAGGGCCTCCGGCACTAAATGCCAGGTACTTTTTGGACTATCTGACAGTCACCCATTCAACATCTGCATGTCCCTGAACAGAAGTTAGAATTGCTTCTGGATTATGAAAGAAGCCCAGAGCAGACTGAGTGAACATATTTATTTCTTATACAAGTGCAGCAGTAGATACCTTCATTGGAGCATATATTTTCCTATGATATACACTCTCTTTAGAAGTTGCAGATCAACCATTCGAAGGCTAATAGATAAGTCACATGATTCAGATATCACAGAGATCATGCATGCTGATGGTCTCAATTGGAAACATGGGTAATTTACTGCTGATGATTAATAGATGAAAAGAGTACCATGGAGGATTTGCTGATGGGGAAAAAGGAATATACGGATTAATGATCATGCAACTGATTTCAAACTGGAGTGAATGTTACCATATTACCAGACAAAATCCCTTGTTGAAAAGAATGAAAATGTAACCATCTGAGAGAAAACTGCATGTCACAGGTATAACACTTCTCAAATTCAAAGGAATGATATCAGTCGTTTTAAAAGCCAGAGACCAATATTACGTCAAACATATGTACATGATCTGAAACTATCACTTCACTTCTGAGCGGAAAGCTTGCTTCACACTTGAAATTCAACAGCATGTTGAAGAACCTAAACCAGCTCAGTGGTCAAATACCAGTGATCAACCTAACTAAACTTAGCAATAGAAAGAAGTCTCAGAAGAATGTCTGCTGAATCTAAGAGAAAATATATTATAATTACATAGGTTTCTGACAACTCTTTGTGGTTGAGAGATCAAAAGATACTACTTATATCACAGATTTGGAGAGATTATTCAATTGTCTTCCAACCGCGGATTAATCTTCGAAATCGACTCGCTGGATATCCTTGACACCACAACCACCAGGAGTAGACTCTAGATACAGTCAATTCAGCTGTTAATGAGAAGCAGCACCAAACAGCTTTCCTGTATATAATTGAACCTGATAAAATAACAATGCTAACCAGAAGAATACATAGAAGGATTACATGTGAGTTCACCTAGTTAAAATATAAAAGGAAGAATATCATTTATTTCAGAAACATATCCATCTTCTCTGCCTCAAGTTGAGGAAACTAAAGATCATCCATGAGAGAGGAAAGTTTATAAAGTAATATCGAAGCGTCTGCAAAGGACATTTGGGAAATCAACAATTCGACCAAAGTTACAGTTTATCAATCAATTGGACCTGAATGTTTTATCTCCCAGTAGCAGACTTCCAACGCAACTGAGTCATCAGTCATTCATAAAGTCAGATTCTCCAGGAGAGCATGGGAAAGTGGTGAAACCATTTATTTGAAACAATGGTATTAGTTATTTAATAAACAGAATAAAAGCTTGGGGGTGGGGGAGGTGTAGTGGAGGAGATATTTTATGAGACAGTTAGTATCTGAAAAGGTTAAGTAACATCATGAAATAAGGTCCACCCAAAAGGATATAAAGGACTGTTCCTGGGAGCAGCTAACCAGTTGATTAGTTATCTCAAAATTGTGTACCATATTATTTCAGTGACAGTAATCTGTACTTACACTTAGGCATAACCTTGTGTCACACAAGAACACATCGTGTATTTCAGATGCAATATAACTAGCTATCAAGACTGAATCTCTCTTCTGCCGAAGACTTTGTGAGGACATGTTCCCCCACTTGGTCAGTAACTCAGACTAATATCAACAAGAAGGATTCGTGGCAGTGAATCTTCTCAAGGCATTAGGTGTAAAGCATTTTGTGATGCTCTGACACTGCTAAACAAAAATAAATAAATAAATTTAAGTGCTTATTTTGTTCACAATTGTAACACTGGAGTGATCTACAATCCTGTGATTCCAGCAGGTAACCATACCTATCGGAAACACTGGTAAAGAATTGGGGAAAGAATCTGAAACTGTCCTTTCAGCAGGCATAGTATCCTTTCTAGGAGTAGAGGGAATCATTCCTATTGTATATAGTTTTCTTTGGGTACTCTATTATAGAAAGGCCCTAGAAAACAGTGGAAAAGCTTCAGCACAGATTGGTCAGAATAATACCAGTCACATAACGTTATAGTTAGATTTATTATATGGCTCTGGAAGGATTAATACTGAGGAGTTTTCAGTTGCCACCCACAATGATGATGTCATATGAATTTGTGGCAGAATGGCTTAGGATTTTGAAGGAGTGAGACCTAAAATCTGGTCCTCCTCAAAATCTGTAACAATATTTTTATATCAGTGTAACCTGGAATCAGTTGCTAACGTGATAAATTATATCCTGTTAACTACAAGAGTCAGTTCGGTTTAGATCAACAAGTAGGTTTCTTCTACCACACTGAACCAACCAGGCCCTGTGGTTTTCTACACGTAACAAGGATGGTGACAGCAATCTTCATCATGAGCAGCATCTTATGCAGGGTCGTGATTTAGAATGCTCATGCAGCAAGGTTATTAAGTGAGACTTTTTCAACAGAGCTGGGAGAGTAAAGGTGTGACCTGATAGAGAATTCAAGAATATGATTGAATAGTTTTTTTTTTAGTTGATGAGTGCAAACAGTGATGAGAGCATGCAAATTTGTTGTGTTGATTAGAAACAAAAATGAAGAGGAGATTAAAATGTGATTTTTTAAATGTTAGGGATGCCTGCTTTTTCTTTGACTAATTGAAAAAGATCTTTTACATTCTCTTGAACCACCTAAACAAGTCCTTATTCAAGAAAATGATAACGCTGCACTGGAGAGTTACCCCAGATTATGTACTCCACCCTTCTTGCCTGCTTCAACTTTGTAACTTTATTTTAGTTTGCTTAGTCAATTTCATGGTTTGTCAATAAGTAAAACATGAGCTGTTATTTTATCCTGACAGCCATGAGCCTTGACTTTAACTTGAGGTGAGAATTGTAAGTGGAAAATTGAGGAAACAGTAAACTTAATTCTGCCAGTGTGAGGCTTGGGCAATTTTATCATCTAGACCCCATCTATATGCCCCCAGTTGCTAACTGACCTAGGACCAATTGGGCAGTGGATTGTTTGGTGACGTGTGCCTCTGGTGTGAACCAATCGAAAGGTCTCTCGTGTTCATGTAAGTTACTGGGAGGAGCTCCTTCTACCGCAAGGAAAGCACAGAAGTTTAAAAAACCTACTTGGGCCCCTTTACATCCTAACTCTCCTACCGACTAGCTTTACCTGGTCAGAAACTCATAACAGTTTCTCCTCACAAGCCTCAGGATAAAACATCAGTCAGATCTCTATGCCATCATTAGAGACCAATGTATGTATTTAAGGAAGGATCTCTCCACTTTCTAGGAGCTATCCCTCCTATTTGATCAGAACAGCTGGTTAAAAAAGATGATAGTAGGTTCGGTTCTTGGGTGACCTATACTTCCCTCTCTCACAGTTTCTGATAGTCCGGTAGAATTAAGATTGTTATTTTATGACCTTGAACAGCAAGATAGACCACTTGTCAAAAATGTTATCTTCTCTGTTTACCCCAATTGTTTTGTAAAACTAGAATGTGTGCTCATCTATTTAGCATTAGCTCAAGACTTTTGACAAGTTTGATGAATAATAATTTTTTTTTGTTTGAGCTGACTTGTACTCATTGCATGAGGTGATTTTCAGTGAAGTTTTTTTCAATTGTTCTTGAAACCTTTCAGCCGTAGATATTTGTTAGCAGAAGGACTGAATCAGCTGGTTCATAGTGAGACTGACGCTCAGAAATAATCTCACACGCTTGCCTTTTTTCTGCTTTGTCAGGTCTTACAAGGATGTTTAGACAATCTGGTAAGTCTGCTTTAAAGTAATCACTATTCAAATCCTGTAGTCTGAACTGTGATTGTTGAGGAATTAATTTTGCTTTTGTCTCGACTCTGTTCTCCATATATAATTTTCCCCATCAGTTCTCATCAATGCTTATTCCTTCTCCATTTAATTCTCTTATGGAGTGTGGAAAATTAAACAGATGGTTGATTTTAGTGCTTTCTCATTATTTCAATTATGCATTTGCATATTATCATTGGTGCCTACTGTTGTTACAGTATATAATTGTTCACTAATCTGTTTGGCTTCTTCATGCTCCATTAATAATTCATTTCTGAAATCAGCGGCTTGAGATAAATGCAGCATTATTTTGGGGGTAATACTTGTTAATGAATGTCAGTGTTATCACACACTCATCTGTCTCGCTTCCTGTCTGCTTTGAATGCAGAATGAGCTTTGTCAATGACAGTCTAAGCATTTGTTTCCATTGTGCAACTCCCAAACCAAGCGATTCACTTAAGCATGTATAATAAGCAGTCATTGTCTGTTCCTTGATTAATATGTGCTGGTAAATGATTTATTATGTACAAAGATCCAAGAACTTACTAAATGCAATTTTTATAATGCAGACTTTACAAAAATTGATTCACAAATTCTATTAACTCTTGAAGTAATCTTTATATTCTTGATTATCAAATTATTAACAAGTCTTCTTTCCAATAACTTCAACTTGACTCGAGTCATATCCTTTCATCTTATTCTAGCACTTTAAATAACTTTCCACTAGTGAAGCTCTTGTCAACCTTGGCACATACAAGCTGTAATGTCTTACCTGGCCCATATTAGACATATTGTCTCACTCCTAACAGCTGCATATTTGTCTTCCCTTTTTGATCGAGATTAGTTATTTTGTTTTACACCTTGCTCGTGGTTTCTGCCTTTGACTTTTTGCATGCAGGTCGACAGCTTTCCTGGTCTTCCTTAACCATCTGTACCTCAAGCTGTCCCTCATCACCAGGTACAAGATAATTATCAAAAGATCATTTTTTGTTGAATAGAATAGCCTTTTGTTCAAGAGGTGAACATATGTGTATAGTTCAAACAGTTTTATTTTTGATTAGACTCCTACAATGTTTAATAATTTCTGTTGTGTATAATTCCAGAGCAGTAATATCACTCATAGAACTTTAAATATGTGTTGTATTCCATATTCTGTTTACTTTCTTGTGAGCTGTTTCCAAATGAAGAAATTATTTTCAATTGCAATTTAGTATCTCATGATAAGAATTTTTATTTATAATATTGTTAATTATTTTTAAAACTTGGTTCCCCTTCACCACCATTGTTAGATTATTCCTTCAGTTTGTAATCTGCATGCATTTATATTGAACAGGGGACATCTTTGATGAACCAATGCACAGGCCATAATGCAATGCACAACCTTGAGAAAAAAACTTGTCCTTGCTGTTGAACTCTGATTGGCTTATAGAGTTGTAAAATTGTACAGCACAGAAACAGACCCTTCAGTCGAACTTGTCCCATGCTCACCAGATATCCTAAACTGATGTAGCCCCATTTGCCAATATTTGGCTCATATCCCTCTAAACCCTTCCAATTCATGTACTCACCCAGATGCCTTTTAAATGTCGTAACTGTACCCACCTCCACCATTTCCTTTGGCAGCTCGTTCCATACATGCACCACCCTCTGCGTGAAAAAGTTACCCCTCAGGTCCCTTTTAAACCTTTCCCCTCTCACTTTAAACTTTTGCCATTTAGTTTTGGACTCCCCTACCCTGGGAAAAAAGACCTTGTCTATTCACCCTATCCATGTCCCTCATGATTTTATTAACCTCTATAAGGTCACCTCTCAATTTCTGATGCCCCAGGGAAAAGAGGCCCCAGCCCATTCAGCCTTTCTCCATTGCTCAAACCCTCCAAACCAGGCTACATCCTTGTAAATCTTTTCTGCATCCTTTCAAGTTTGACAACATATTTTCAATAGCAGGAAGACCAGAACTGAACGCAGTTTTCTAAAAGTGACCTTACCAATATCCTGTACATCTGCAACATGATGTCCCAATTCCTATACCCAATGCACTTAGCAGTGAAGGCAAGCGTACCAAACGCTACGTTCACCAGTCAGTCTACCTGCAACTCTACATTCAAGGAACTATGCACCTTCACCCATAGGTCTCTTGTTCATCTACTCCCCAGGGCCCTACCGTTAACTGTGTAAATCTTACCCTGATTTGCCTTACCAAAATGCAGCACCTCACATTTATCTAAATTAAACTTCATCTGCCACTCCTCAGCCCATTGGCCCATTGGGTCAAGGTCCCGTTGAGATAACCTTTTTCTCTGTCCACTACACCACCAATTTTAGTGTCATTTGCAAACTTAGTAACCATACCTCCTAAATTCACATCCAAATCGTTTATATAAATGACAAAAAACAGTGGACCCAGCATGGAATCTTGCTGGTCACAGGCCTTCAGTCCAAAAAACAGCCCTCCACCACCACTATCTGTCTTCTACCTTCAAGCCAATTTTGTAGCCAATTGACTAGCTCCCTCTGGATCCATGTGATCTCACCTTGCTAACCAGCCTACCATGTGGAACCATAGCCTTGCTGAAGTCCATTTAGACAACATCTACTGCTCTGCTTTCATCAGTCTTCTTTGTCACTTCTTCAAAAAAACTCAATCAAGTTAGTGAGACCTGATTTCCCATGCGTAAAACCATGTTGACTATCCCTAATCAGTCCTTGCCATTCCAAATGCATGTAAATCCTGTCCCTCAGAATCCGACAACTTACCTACCACTGATGTCAAGCTCACCAGTCAATAGTTGCCTGGCTTTTCCTTACCACTTTTCTTAAATACGTTCTGTAACTTAGTTATATTGAATGTAAGTATTTATCTTGATTGATTTTTGATATTTTTTTTCTCTGGTGCCTTTTATTTTAAAAGTGAGAAAACGTGCTACTGAAGACAACCCAAATGATATTTCACGGACCAACAGCTTTACTGACGAAATGGATTTGATGGGTGAAGAATCACCACTCCCTGTGGTGACAGATGTATTACAGTAAGTTCAGACAGATTTTAAATCCATGTCATTTTTGCCAATCTAAACTGCCGTCTTTTGATAATCTCTGTACTAGGTTAGCTGGCGACAGTTTTGAAGTTAATGGTCTCTTAAAACAGTTAACCTTTGACAACCGAATGCAGATGTTTTCCAACATAAGCATACAAATAAAATTGGATCACAAAACTTAAATAATATTGTGCTCTGATTCTTTATGTACCTGCAAATTTGATCATACGATTTCATATTTAGGATTGAGGAAAGAGAGGTCAGAAAGTCAGGTACTAAAAAGTAATTGGCGATGGCAAAGGAATGAGAAATAAAATTCTGTGTTCCTTTCATTTCCTGTTCTGATGGTGAAGAAAAGACAGTTGAAGTCAAGCTATTGTTAAGTTTTGTAGCTGAAGAAAGACATCTTGAAGTAATTCCATGAACAATACATTCACAAAGGAGAATGAGGAACACGATGTACCACGCAAAGAGAAAAATAGGAATTCCTTTTCAATCAGTGCCACCAAAACTGATTATTTGATTCATTGCTGTTTGTGGGATCTTTCAGTGCACAACCTGCCTGTCATGTTTGCCTGGATAATATTAGTAACTTTGACTTACTTCCCACATCTAGAGATGCATGAAGCAGATGAAGCACTCCATCCTTTTCTATCCACAGCAATGTTCTCACATTGCTGACTAGCTGAAAATCTCCACTGACAATCTAGTACAATTTCATTTGGGTCACACCCTTCTACATCTGTTAAAAGCCCACAGCATAACTGTATAGATAGGCTGCAGTGACATGGACATCTCAGCTTAGCTGTCTGTTGAAGCTGATCGATGAACCTGGAGGCTGCTCTGAGCATTTTTTTTGCTCCAGTATTTGGTATAAAGTCCCAACAGTGGATGACTAGTAGGTTTTGAAGATTTCTGGTATGAAAAGCATGCAATTTCTTTTCTTGACTGTCTTTCAGATGTTTAGAAGGGAGGTGATGGCCTAGTGGTGTTATCGCTAGGCAATTCATCCAGAAACCCAAGTAATGTTCTGAGGACCTGAGCTTGAATCCCATGGTAGATGGTGGAATTTAAATTCAATAAAAATATAGAATTAAAAGTCTAATGGTGACCATGAAACCATTGTCAATTGTCAGAAAAATCATTAATGTTAATTAATATCCTTTCCCTTTAGGGAAGGAAACTGCCATCCTTATGTGGTTTGGCCTACAGGTGACTCCAGACCTACAGCAATGTGATTGACTCTTAAATTCCCTCTGGGCAATTAGTGACAGGTAATAAATGCTAGCCTAGCCAGTGATGCCCACATACCATGAATGGATAAAAAAAAATTGGACAACACATTTGCATATGGAAGCTGAGCTTGTTTTCATGGAAAACTTTTCACTGTTCACTGGTTGAAAAGTAATGATAGTTTACTTATTCTTCTACTGAACTCTTTGTCTATGGCTTCTTGGACAAGAAGCAAACCATCCAAATAGATAAAGTCCTGCACAGTATCAACAAACATTTTTTTGTTGATTCTTTTCAATCATCATTTTTTTTGTTTTCTTGGTGGCTAAACTGAGTCCCACTCTCTCTTAGCCTGATTGTTGATTGAATTAATGAACTTTTGCAGCTGTGTTTTGCTGTCTGATAGGTGTAAAGTGGGTGGAATCTTACAGGAGCCAGACCGACGTATGAGACATTTGGCAGAATTGTGTGAGAAGTGTGCCGCAATCCATCCTGACATCAAAGTAATTTCACGTTATCTTTTAAGCATTTCACACATGGCATGGCAGGATTCTAAAGTCACATACACCCAGCTCATGGACTGGACCAGGCTGCGTCTCCACGCTCTTTGTCTGCTCTCATTGTACTCACTCACTCTGAGTTTACCTGCATGTTCACAGCATCCCTGCTTTGAATTGGCTTACCTTGCCCTTTTGTGCTTTGTTCCTTCAGCCAAAGGTACCAGGCTCATATTACTGCTGGCTTGCTGACCCATTTAGTGGAAACATGAAGCTTGTTGGGTTTAGTCAGTTAAGGGGAATAGCCTTCACTTAGAGGCTTACTTGCACAGTAAGCCTTCAATATCAGCCCAGTCCCTACTTGGGGCTATCAGAGTCAGGATCCTCTGCTCATAAGGAGTGAGAAGCCTAATGTCAGGCAGCCCACCACCTATCTTGACTCTTTCTGGCTTATGTCGACTGTTTGCCTTCAGGAATGAGAGAGAGGCAGGTATTAGAGGAAATGAAAGTGGGCACCACAGCCACCACTGTTGGTGCAGGAGGGGAGATGACCCGAGTGAGTGAGGAGACAATGCAGAGGGCATGCAGTCAGAGGTTAAAGTGGGTGAGAGCACATGGGGAAGATATGGCAGGCAATAGTGAGAGTGATAGAGCATGAGCCTTGGAAAGAGGTGGGGACAGTAACAGAGACAGAGTGAGTGTGAGGAATCAGAAAGAGGTTGGTGGAACATACCTTGGTGAAGTGGAGAAGGACATTGACCTGCTTCCTAAAGTGCTGGACGTTCTTCTAGATAGCTGAAACTGCTTTAACTTGGGTGGCAATCTTGAGGCAGATTGGCATGGTCTGATGTTGTGGCCTCCACTGCTGCTCTTAATGGTCCTGGGTTGGCACTACGCTGATAAAGCAGGGCTCTCAGAACCCTGCCTGCAAAACCTGGCACTGATTTTCCCCTGTCTGCCGTGTTCATGGCAAATGTCAAGAACTGTGCGGGACAACTCAGGGCTCACAGTCCTTGTTTGGGTGCAGAATGGTCCTTTCAAGATGGCACACAGGTGCAAGGGATGCCAGTGAGCTCCAGAATATCGCCGAGTGGACAAGTTGTTTTGTGTGTGTGTGTGTGTGTGTGTGTATGAGAGAGAGACAGTGTGTGTGTTTTTGCTTGCATCTAAAATCTATTTATCTGTAATAAATAGTAATCCTTGTTAAGTACACACCAGTTTTCTGTTAGCCTGGGAGTAAAAGACAGTTACAGTACATTGGGGAGTTTTGTGTATTTTTATAAAATCTTTTTGTGATGAATCCAGGAATAGTGGGTCCTGATTTGCAGTGCACTATCCCACTGAGGTATGACATGGGACAGTGATGTCTAACTATTCTTCAACAATAATTTATTCTTTTGAAAGCGCAGTGGGCTATCCTGAAGCTATGAATGTCACTACGTACCAGCAAGTTTTTTTTCTTTAATTTGACTGTGTGTTATTTCAGGAGAAAATTAGTAACTTGTTGACATTATTAGACAAAGAAGGTTAGATCTTTGCCTGGACACATCCAGGAATTAGGTTCAAATTGAAGAAATTTAGCAGCAGTAATATCCTGGAAGTCATTATTTAATTAACCTCATTCAGGAAAGTCATGGTGATGTAGTAGGACGTAATCTTTAAGATAGCATTTAAGAAACATTGTTAACTTGAGGTGGAAGGAGTATCAGTACACCTCTCACTCAGTACATATGAATATGAATACTAGAAAACCAAAGTGGAAAATTACTCCAATATCCAGCGCGGACTTTTCCACACCTCAATGGCACAATTTTTTTTCAAACATGTACTTTATTGATTAAAGTATCTTTATATACGTACATAGTCACTAAAGCAGTTCGGTTCTGTACAGTAGCATAAAAAGAAACAAACAAACCAAAGGCATTTCTTTCTTGTACGTGAGTATATTTGCATGCATTTGACGTACCAGGTTGTCCAATAACTGAACGGACCCCCGTTTAACTTTGGCAGAAAGACTTTAGACAAAAAATTCAACAAAACTCTGCATTGGGTCTTCATATTTCCCTGTTTCTAAAATGTGGATGGCATTGCTGGCTTATTTTTCTGTTTAATTACAAGTGCCCTGATTAATATTAATTTTAATTTTTCTCAAAAGTGATTTTGAATGTATACTGAAAGAAAATTAGAAATTGAAACACATTTATTTGGCTGCTACATTGATATTTGAGTGTGCGATGAGTCCAATGCCATAATTAGTAATGTGGAATAATTTACATTTTCCCCAGTATACTGTTCGTGGACATGTATTGAATTGATTGTATATAAACGTCTGTTTAGGCTTCAATGTTACCATTCACTGCTGAAGTGATTTGTACCAAAGCATGAAATGGTTATCATTTTACAAAAAGCAAAGAATAAGGTAGGAAAATTTTAATCCACTAGTAAGGAGAAGTGAGATTAGTATTTGGGTCCGAGCTTTAGTACTGAAATTTATCTGTTTTCCTGGTATTTGTCTTTCCATTGGTATTATATAAGAAATAAAGATAAATTACAAGTTTGTGGACAGTTCTACTCCACCTAATATGATTGTGTATCTGACATCACTTTATATTACAATAGTCAAATATGGATATTATGTAGATTGAAAAGTAAACTTTTGGGGTGAATAACACGGAATGCCATTGTGTAAGGGCATTAGTGCAAGCACAGAATGGCCACCAAAAGTATGCAGAGCCAATCAGTACACAGTATTGATATGATGTCAGTACTTTGAGCTCAACATACTGGCTAATGCTGTTTCTTAACCTTGCACAACAAAACATATATTCAACGAATGACCCGAACAGCACAATTTAAAGGAATCACCATCTAACAACAATTGTTGTTAGTTAATTTCTTCTGGTTGTTGCTATGATTTTGCAACTGTTTACTACTTTCTTTAGCTAATTAAAATTGCAAAATTCACAGCGAGTGGTGAGGGAGATGCTGAATGACTTTTTGCTGACTTTGAGGCTTCTGTACAAATCAGCTGTTCCCAGACATGGTGGACTAGTAGCCCTTCAGCTTGGAGTAATGCCCAAATTGGAGAATGAACAGGACCATGTAAATCAGGACAGGTCGCTTTAATGGAAGCAGGAGGAGGGATGAAGAGTTGTCATCAAAAGGGTTTGTCCATTCCAGATGTTTAGGAAAGAATTTTCAAAGAACCTTAGCAAGGAACATGTGTGAAAGGACTCTATTTCATAAGGATGTTTTCACTGA